ACTCGAAGTCAAGCTTGAGAATCTGCGAAGGGTGAGGAGGAGGGAGGAGGGAGGAGGGAGGAGGGAGGAGGGAAACCTTCTGAAAGGTGAGGTACTCCGAGCCTCCTCTGAACGGAACCTGAAACAAGCTGAGGAAGTCGAGAAGTAGACAAGGAGAAGAGGGGAGGGGGACGATGGGCGAGAGAGGGAGAGAGAAAGAGGAGGGAGGGAGGGACGGCGGGGAAGGTTAGGGCTTGGAGCGGCATACCCTCCCCGCGAAAAATTGAAAGATCATGCAGCCTGGGGGAACGCCAGACATGAGCATCACCACCACCACCACCACCACCACCTCCTCCTCCTCCTCCTCCTCCTCCTCTCCCCCCCATCTCACCGAAGGCCCAGAGGTCTGACGCCTGCGTAGCTCCAACGTTCTCGAGCACCTCGGGCGACACGTACTCGGCTATCGCAGCACAAGTGAGGAGAGAGGAGGACACAAGTCGCTGCGCCACCTGTGCCCACGAAGCTGTTGCTCCTAGTCGCCTCTGCGTCCCTGATGATTTTTGACGTCCCAAAGTCTACGAGGCAGATGAGGAGAAAGAAGACAAGAAGAGAAGAAGAGCATGAGGAGTAAGAGGACAGGAGAAGATCAGTACTCCATAACCTGTCAACTTTACATGTCCGCTCTTCGATACCAGCACATTCTCCGGCTTCAAATCCCTGGGGTGCTGTCAAGAAACTTTGCTACACTCCTTTGCTTCTTGCCTCTATCCCCCTCCTCTGCCTCCGCCTCCTACCCCTCTGCTTTTCCGTCGCTCCCCGTCTCCCGCCCTCCATCCTGTTCTTCCTCACTCCCTTCCCTGCTTCCGGTTCTGCGCCCCCTCCTCTTCCATCCTCCGAACCCTCTCCCTCCCTCCCCTTCCTCCTGTCCTTCCGTTCCCCCTCCTCCTCCCCTCCCCTCCCTCCCCTTCTCTCCCTCTTCGTCGCTCCTCACCTGTGCATCACAGCTTGGCCGTGGATGAACCGCAAGGTGACGGCGAGCTCAGCAGCGAAGAATCGGGCACAGGGGAGGGCAAAGCTTCCCTTCTCCTGCAGCAGCTGGAAGAGCTCAGTCTCGCAGAGCTCCATCACGAAGAAGAGCCGGTGCGGGTCCTGGAAGGTGCAGAAGAGCTTCACGACGTTGGGGTGGCGGCATCGGTTCAGGACGTCTTTCTCCATCACCACGTACTTCTGCTTCTTCTCTCGCAGCACCAGCGCCTTCTCAACCATCTTCACCGCAAACAGCTCCCCCGTCGCCTTCCTCCTCGCCCTCACCACCTTAGAGTAGGAGCCCTCCCCTAGCACCTCCCCCACTCGAAGTCACTCCCGCTCACCTTCACTCCCTCCCTCCCCCTCCCGTCCCCCGTCGGCTCTCGTTCCCTTTGTCCGTCGCCAGCTCGTGCTGCTGGACTATGCGAAGTTCCAGGTCCTCGTGACCGTCGGCTGTGCTCGCCCTCCTCGCCCTCGCCCTCGCCCTTCAGCCTCAGTCGCGCAAGACTCGCCAGCTCCTCTTCCTCCAGTCTCGCCGCCATGGAGACAGTCTGACAGCTTCGTCATTGTACACACTTGAAACCTCCCCAACTGCTTCCCCCTCACTCCCTCCCCTCACTCCCTCCTCCCTCTTCTAGCGATGAAGCATGCGGACTCCGCACAAGAGGTTTCAGCCGCTGCTCCCCCATGGGACGCAGTAGATAGTGGCGCTCCCATATCCCTCCCCCTCCCTCCCTCCCCTCCCTCCTCCCTCCCTCCCTCCCTCCTTCGCTTCCGCCATGCCATGTAGGATGCGGTTCCTTCTTCAGAATTTTGAGGACCCCTACCCTCTGATCGTCATATTTCTACCTTGCTCTATGCCCCTACCCCTACCCTAATTCGTCTAAAGTACCCCCTCCCACTAGAGTACCCCCTCTCTTTATGGCTATGGTTCACCAGGTCCGCACTACCCCTACCCCGTCGGGTCCATCGCATTTGCGGCGGGCATGTGGCGGAGGCTTGGAGGATGGGCGAGAGCAGGTTGGCGACGAGGAGGAGAAGGAAGACGAAGCTTGAGTGATGGTAGAGGCAGCGCAGGAGGAGGAGGAGGAGATGCGGAGGAGAGGGTTGAGGGCGTCAAGAGCGTTAAGACATCGCACATTGAACGTCAGACGTTCGACGAAGGAGGTAGACGGACGGAAAGGATCGTTCTCAAGCGAATAGAACCAGCGCATGGCCTGCAAGGAGGTGCTCGAGGAGGCAAACAACCGGACAAGCAGCGACAGGGCTGGGAGGATCTGGAGGCGGAGGAGGAGCTTGACTACATCCCCTCGTCGGTGAGTGACTTCGACAACTGGGGGAGAGCAACGGGAGGCGGGTGGGAGGGAGGCGGAGGAGCAGCAGGTGGGGTTGGAGGGCTGGGAGGGATATGGGAGCGTCACTATCTACTGCGTCCCATGGGGGAGCAGCGGCTGAAACCTCTTGTGCGGAGTCCGCATGCTTCATCGCTAGAGGAGGTGTGGGGGAGAACAGCAGCGTACGTGGTGCCGAGGCCGAACAAGATCATGCTGGTACGGCATGGAGAGTCCGAGGGGAACAGCGACGACAGCGTCTACACCCGCGTGTCAGACTGGCGCATCAGCCTGACGCAACGAGGACGACAACAGGCGCGAGCTGCTGGGCACAAGCTCAAGGAGCTGGCGGGAGCATCGGATGTTTTCTTCTACTACAGGTAAAAGACAAGGGACGCGAACAACCGCTGCCTGCCCGATGCTTGTAGTCTCTCTTGCTTGTGCTTGTAGTCTGTGTGGGTAAGTTGGCTCGCAGCCCCTACTATCGCACTGTCCAGACCTGCGAGGAGATTCTGCAAGCGTTCAACCCTGAGCAAGTGCGAGGGATGCGGGAGGAGCCGAGGATGGCGGAGCAGCAGTTCGGGAACCTACAGAACCTGACGTCCATCAAGAAGAGCAAGGACGAGAGGCACAAGTACGGGAGGTTCTTCTACAGGTCCCCCTCCTCCCCCTCCTCACTCTCATTGACCTCCCGCAGGTTTCCGGATGGCGAGGCGGGTCTAGACGTCTACACGCGAGTGACTAGCTTCATTGACACGCTGCGACGAGACCACACCGAAGAAGATTGCACAGTTATCATCGTCACACACGGTCCCTTCCCTCTTGCCTATCCTTTCCTCCTCCCCTACCTCCTCTCCTACTCTCCTCCCCTCCCTCCTGCCCTACCTCCTCTCCTACTCTCCTCCCCTCCCTTCCTTCTCTCATCCCCTCCCTCCTCTTCTTTCTCTTCCTTCTTGACGCGTCTGGTGCAGGTCTCGCCCTGAGGCTCTTCTTGATGGCTTGGTTCCAGTGGACGGTTAGATGCGTGTCCTCTCTCCTGCCCTTCACGTCGCTCTCCCTCTTCTCGCGTCCCCCTCCCCCTCGAGCACTCCGTTGATTGATTCCCTTCTCCCTCTCTTCCTTCTCTCCCTCAATCTGTGTGAACCTCCAGGTAATTTAGCGAGCAGGTCGAGGAATTCGAGATGACGCAGAACCCCAACAACTGCGGAATCGGTGACCATCATCTCCCTCCCTCCCTCACTCTTACTTGCCGCCTCAGCCGTGATGGAAAGAATCTCCGGTGAAGATCGTTACCGGCTGACCCCTCAGACCTGCCAGGCTCGTGGCTGCTCCTTCCCCTTGCTCGCCTGACTCGCTTGCAGATGTTGGGCTGCAAAGCTCCGTTACACGACGAGGTTCAAGGCTTGACGCCTGACAAAGACGCGCTGGACTGGCCGGATGAAGTATTGGATCACAACAAGCGGAGATAGGCTAGGTTGAGAGACGAAGGGACCGGATCCGCTTCAATCAATTTACATGGCGAATGGAGCAAAAAACAAAAGACAAACATTGAATATGTAAAGTGGACAAAGAACCTAGGAGCACTATCTATGTGCCAACGATGTCTTTCAAAAGCTGGTTGTCGACATCTCCCACCCGTACAGACACATGCTCGAACTCAAACAGCTTGTCTTGAGCTGATCGAAATAACTGACCGAAGATCCTGCAACGATCGGGCTTCATGATCCAGTCCCGGTTGTGAAAGCAACTCCATCCGTCCTTGCGTTTGCGCCAGTAGAGAGAAGTCATGTGCAGCTCTCCAGGAGGCGAGTTGCTCTGCGCGTAGAAACGAACTTGCGAGTCTACGTTCTTGGCCGACTGGTTGGGTTGACCGTCTAAGGTGACCTGAAGCAGCTTGATCCAAGGGGTGATTTTACACCCGGCGATCTCCGGCATCTTGAGGCGGACATGCATCGTGAAGCGCGGGATCCCCCCGGCAGTCACATCAAAGTACAAGTGCCATTGGAGGATCCGGGAGAAGACCTGGGGCAGCTCGCCGTATCTGTGAAGCTCCACACCATGCAGCGCCAGGTATTCTTCGAGAACCACTCGTGAAGATTCCGACGCCAGGAGAGCCGAAGAAGAGAGCTGGACCTGCTCGGGGAATCCGAAGTCTTTCATCCTCGAGCTCACTTCCCATGGCGATGCCGTCGAGCATATGTCATCGAAATTGAACACACCGCAGAGGCTGCTGAGAAACTCAGCCTTGCCGGACCAGGCACGGTCAGGCACCATGGAAGGGAGAGCATCCACAGTGCGAAGGAAGAACAAGGTCGAGGTCGAGTTCTCAGCCGTAATAGGATGCAGCTCGCAGCGGATACACGCATGGCAGTTTCCACGAAAGACAGAAAGCCGGATCTCGACCGGGTCTCTCGGCTTGTCATGCATCCTAAGCGTCCAAAGGTCATGGGGGTGCACCAGCAACGGCAGCCGTTCTCCGACTATCGACGAGCATGGTAAGTTTTGAAAGAGATTGTCAAACCCAGCACTTGTTTTTACGATCGTCCACTCCTGTGTGTCCATCTCCACGATTTGAAGGAAAGAAGACGACATCATGCCCTTCACAACGTACTCTTTCTCTACCCGGCACCTGTCGATGCATGATTGAAGATCCTCATCGAGCCTTCTGAAGAAAGAAGATACACTCCTGTCGCTGCCAACCTGCACCGAACCTCGCTCCTGACTTCCATTCCCCACCTTCACGGATCTGATAGCGGCTACTGTATCTTCGTACAGCTGCAGAACCGTCCTCCTCGACTTCAAGCTTCCTTTCTCCGATGAAATCGGCCGATCTTGAAGAGGAACCAGAGGATCCAGCAGGTCGATCAGATCTCTTGTCCTCTTGCGCTGCTCTACCTTCTCCTCACGCAACCGTTCCGCTCTGCTCTTACTATTCACAAAGGGCGATGAAGCCATGTCTTGCATGGATGCTCCAGCACCTAACAGGTCTTTACGTTCGATCACCTGGCATCCGCCCTCAAGACAACATCGAGTGACAAAAATTGTTCCCTAGGATGAGCAACATTCCATTCCGTTCAACACGAGCAAGCTGATCAGCCAAGTCAGAAGTGCTACGGAAGCGAAAGAAAAGGATAGTGCTGATGTTGTTTCGGCTCTGTACGCAAACACTCGTACCAAGCCCACAACACTGAAAGACTCCCCAAGAAGTATTTTAAAATCTATTCTTGCTCAAGTTATAGTCCTGTCCTCTTTTGCATTCACAGTATCAATCATGCATGAATATGTCCTTCTTCAGCCATGTGAAGCATCAAACATTGAAATTGCACACCAGCCCTACAATTCAATCATCTATCAGTTACAACCAATGTTTTGTCCTCTACCCTCTGAACTCCCTTTCTTGTCCTTCCTCAAATCTACTATCTCGCATCTCCTAGCTTTTACCTACTAACTCCCATCTCATTCCTTCTGCCACCTATCGCCCTCCTCGAGTAGTCTTCCTGCCTCCTCCTGCATGTCGCCTGCATTCTACGATCAGTCAGCATTCCATCTATCGTCTCTCGAGTCTCTTCGCTCTCTCCTTCTCCTTCTCTTGCTCTTCCCTCCATCCATTTCGCGCTGCCACCGACGAGACCATCTTCCTGACACCAACCCCACCCCTGCTCGCTAAGAACCCCACTCTTCCTTCTACCCCACCCCCCTACCCCATAAACAAACTCACAACTACCCACCCCTCAAAAATAAGAACATTGTTCCCTGATATAACCCTACCATAGCTAGGCAATCGTCGGTAATTCCCACCCAAGTTTCGATCACCCCACCCTCCTATATGTACTGCATCATACACCCACCCTCACAATTCCCTGTGTCACGTCCTGCGGTCATAGAAGAGTACCCCTATCTTTTACTAGTCATCACCCCACCCTCACTCCTCGGACGTGCATGTCTCGTCAGTACCCCCGCACTCATCAGACCTCATCGTCCTTTTTATAAAGATTAGACCACCCTACCCTCAGATCTCCTGACTCTTTGACTTCACAGTCACCACCCCTACCCCTGACGTGAATTCCACCGGGCAGCAGCGGCTGTGACGTCTATCTAAAGATAAAACAGGGGACGTGCAAAAGAAAAGGTGGGGTAGAGCTTTAACAGATAAATGGACAAACCAGGGGTACTTGGACTAGTACCAGGGGGTCCTGGGGGTTGTAGAGAACTGCGCTCCTTGTTCTGTTTCTCTGAGAGGTGGGTCCATGGAATGATAATGAGGGGTGGGGTGGATTGTTGAGAATCAGCAACCTCTATTTGGCGGTTTAAAACAGCCTTGATGACCCTACCCCTTATTTGACCTTGAGACATAGGTGAAAGTACCCGTGCGGTGAATACGTACTCACCCCACCCGTGTGTTCCCATAGGGTTCGATACGGCTGTATTCACATCTACTCGTATGGGTCACGGGAACCCCTAATGTCCGGTCTTTGGTAACGCGCTTCTCTCACTACCCGGTACTTCAACATGTTTTTGATATGAACTGGTGGGGTTATAGAAGCACCCCCCGCTTCCGTATGTGCAATCGGCTGAATTCTTACCACAAGACTCCTTCACCAATAAGGACTACCCCACCCCCTCATGTCAGTACCCCACCTCCATGAGGTGCAAACTTCACTTATGAAATTACCCACCCCATACACAATCCCCTAGGGTGTGCCCCTAGCTCAACCCCCAAGATGTGACTAAAAAAATCTTATTCTCCTAAAGTTGATTCAAATTCAACGTGAGTAGAACTTTTGTGGAGCATTTTTAGAATAAACATAACAAGGTTCAAATCTAAATCTGTACTTTCATTTTACCGTACGTACCGGGTGACCGTGGAACTGAGGAGTCATCACGGAACTTCGGAATAACTCGGACGACCGGGGCCGTGACTCCAAGTTCGCGTCTGCCTCAGAGTCCGACAGTCTTTCCCAACTCCGGATAACCGTTGAACCGTTCGATGATGTAACGGTTGTTGATACCGTTGAACTAGCCTACTATCACTCGGAGTCCCGGCGCCCGGCGGCGCCGGGGGCCGGGGCCCAGGCTCGCTGCTCGGCGCCGGACCGCCAGTACCGTGTGAGTACTCATTTACCGTACCCGGTCACTGAATACCCCAGGAGTCTTCGCGGGGACTCCGGTCTCCGAGCCTCCGACCGTGCGGAGACTCGGACTCGGCGAGCCCGCCTGTCCGCCGGTGCCGCCGGGGCGGCCCGGCGGCCCGGGCCCCCGGTCCCCGAGTCACGGCCCGGCCGCCTCAGGGTCGCGGGGCCCTCCCGGCGGCCGGGCGGCCCCCCGGGAGAACCGTTCAAGACGTGACTCCCGGAAGGGCCCCGAATCCGTGTACCGTACCGTAGTACATACTAAGTTAATCCGAGTGCCCGTCACCGGGGCGTGTGACGTCTAGACTCGGATCTGACTCACGGTTTAAACGCATGAGCTAAAAAGCCCGGCCTGACTCGAACTGAGTGCAGCACTGTTGTCCGGCGCCCGGCGCGGCCACTGGGGGGGGGCGGGAAGAAAGCCTGGCAGCAACCGTTGAAGCCAAACCGCCGGGCACACGCCGCGCCGGGCCCACCGTGCAGCCTGCCGCAACCGTAACCCGGCGGCGCCGTTGAAAACTTGAAAAAAGCGGCCCAAACGGTGCCGGAACTTGCTGCACAGCACTGCCGAGTGACTGTGACGCAAGCGAGCGCCTTCAGTGATGCTCCCATCAAAGTAGTCGCGACTCGCACGTCCCTCGATTGCATCGAAGAGAGCCTGGCGGTCGAGGGAGTTGAAGGCGTTCTTTGCATCCAAACTCACCAGCACTGTGGGGTTGGCAACATCCTCATCATCACCGCGAGCGTGAAGGGGCAGGAGCGCTGACGCGGTTTGCGAGAACTTCAGACAGCCGTCTCGATCGAGCCCGAACTGAATCGCTCGAGGGTGAGACGAGAGGAAGTGCTGGTCAAGAAATGAGCGAATCGCTGCCAAAGCAAGCTTCGTCGCGAGTCGACGGTGTGCAGAACCGATGACAATTGGCCGGAGGCCAGGTTTATCAGCTCCCTTGGAGAGGGGAATAAATCTGCCTCCTCGACGAATGGCTGACAGGGCAGGAATAAGAAGATCCGGCATCCGGCCAAGAAGGACCCCTTGGAGGATATGTTGGCAGTAGAGCTTCAAAGCTGCAGGATGACTAGAAAGGGGTGACAGGTGTTGCCGAATCCTCCACCCTTGGTCATCGGTCCCCGCAAAGGAGCTGTAGCGCTTGATCATCGCCTGGATCAGGCTAGTGGTGTCGAGGATGTCAGTCAAATCCACCTGCAGTACTGCAAGCGCTTGCTGGGTGAGATGAGCCGCGGAAGCACTTCCAAAGGCAGGCGACGCACCATCAGGGAACTTCTCTTGTGCTTCAGCAAGAAGATCAGCGAAAGATTCAGCCTTGTAGATGCCGGAGCTCAGTAGTGTCCGTACCGCCCGATGAAGGTCACGGCCCGCAGTGAACTGATGAATCGCCAACTGTCGTTGGCGCTCGCTCGCAGAGGTGAGGGACAGCGTAGGTCGCGGCGGAGGAGCAGGCTCAGACTCCTGAGACGATTGGCCGGACTGCCGCTGCTCCCTCGGCCCGCGCGGTTGTGGTCGCTGCTGTTGCTGTAAGGGTGGACCAACGTCACGTCCGCCATCAAGCCCTCGTACTGCTCGGACCCTCGATCGCGGATCATCCGATTCAAGGAATGTGGATATCGCCCTTCATCTTGCGGCCATGAGGATGAGAGGGTACCTGCCGTCGAGAACGAGGATCCCCCACTGTATCGATGACGCTCTGAAGACCAGCTTCGTTCAGCATCGACCGAATCGTACCGTACGAGTAAGGTTGTCATGCGCCGTGCCGGGAAGCTTGGAGGATCGGCGTTTGCAGGTCTGGAGATGATGTGCAGCAACGGAGGGATTGAGCTCGCGCTGACATCCATCACATTCCGTCGGACACTGGCAGATTGGCATGCCATGGAGATAGCAGTCGAGCATCTGAGCATAGCGGTGCGGGAAATATAGCGGTGCGGGAAGGCCTTGAGGGGGTAGTAGCTCGAGACTCGCATCGGAGAGTGGCTCAGGTCACGCTCAGGAAAATGAGCGAAGATGGTAGACTGCAAGACCCTATCCTGCGACTTGAGCGAGTGTGTCCTGCGGCTGTGCAAGGTGAGGATATCACGCTGCTGATCGGTCAGCGCAGCGCGAGCATGCACATGGCGAGGGAAGACGCGCATGACAAGAGGAGTCACATTTCGCTGCGCAGGCGGAGGAATGAAGTGCTCATGAGACGAGTCGACGAGAGCGCGCAAACCAGGGATGTGTACCACAGATGCCGGGGGGCGTCCTGCGTCATCAGGCACAGCAGCCGGGGCAGGTGGGATCGCCGCGCCATCTGCAGCCGGTGCAGGAGCCTTGACACGACGGTAGAGGATCGCTCCAGCATTATGAACGAAGTCGTGCACCTGAACGAAGAAGGTCGCCAGAGGATGCTTCTGGGCACGGACTCCGGAGATCTCGAGCAGTGAACGTCGAGGGAAGACGCGCATGACAAGAGGGGTCACATTTCGCTGCGCAGGGGGAGGAATGAAGTGCTCATGAGGCGAGTCGACGAGAGCGCGCAAACCAGGGATGTGTACCACAGATGTCGGGAAGATATAGGATTTACTGGCAGAAGATAAAAAGTGCCTCAAGCAAAACAAAGCAGGAACAAGCTGAACCGGCAGGTACACAGTCCACAGCGAGAAGCTGCACAAACACACACAAAACACAAGCCCGAAAAGAACCAGCACTGCTGGCACCCAGACGCGGCAGCGCCAGCCCAAGCGCGAAGCCGCGCAGACAAGCAGCCGCTGAGGGTCAAGCAATCAAGCAACAAGCAGCAGGAGCATGCAGGAGGAAGAAAATCCCTTAGACGCGATACCCGGAGGCAGCCGACTGACCACTGTCAGTCGAGACGTCCGCTGCCGCCACAAAGCGGGCGGCCGCGGAGGGAGAAAGGGCAGCCGCCGACAAGGAGCCGGCGTTGCCCGGGTGTCCGCCTGGGGCAGCGGACGGAGGGAGGCTGGACACATGAACACGGTACCGCTCGAGGTAGTCCTCCTCGCTAGCCTCCGAGTCAGCGGTAGCCAAGTCAGTGGTAGCCGCCCGTGACGGCGGCGACTCGGACGCCGCGGCAATGCCCAAGGACCGGCGTGACCCGACCGATGCCGGGGAGGAAGCAGGCGAGCTCGGACCAGCAGCAAGCACCCCAGTGGTGTCGAGCTCTCCGGAGGCACCCGACGTCACAGTGAGGGACGGAGACGCCTCGCCAGCTCCGCGCCGATCGTCGGCGCCACTCGAAGGGTGTCCCCCATCGGAGTCGGAGACCTCCGGCGAAGACTCCTCGGGCGACTCGACAAAGTCCGAGGAGGAGCTGTCCTCTGGCTCGAGAAGTGCTTGCGCCCGCAAGGGCGTCATGCGCCTCGCACCAGACAAGAGCGCTTCCAGCGTAAGCTGCATGGTGAGGCGCTGATAGGTGGCGGCGCGTTTGCGAGCCAAGACCTCAGCAGCAGGTCCGTCATCAGGCACGAAGTGCCGACCAAACGCCGCATCCTGGGGCATTGAGCGCTGAGCAATGATGTCCGCCAAATACCAGATGAAGCGGAGGGTGTCAGGATGCAGGGTACCGTCCGTCGAGATGGCAAGAGGGATGAACGCTCGAGGAGGAGTAGTCATGGCATATGCAGCGCGGTGTTTGCGAATTTTCTCAGACGCTGCAACATGGAGGGCGTCGAGGTTGACCTCCCCCCACTTGGTCAGGTCGGCAGAGCTACCAATGTAACGGTGGACCAACGTCACGTCCGCCATCAAGCCCTCGTACTGCTCGGACCCTCGATCGCGGATTCCAGGAATGTGGATATCGCCCTTCATCTTGCGGCCATGAGGATGGGAGGGTACCTGCCGTCGAGAACGAGGATCCCCCACTGTATCGATGACGCTCTGAAGACCAGCTTCGTTCAGCATCGACCGAATCGTACGAGTAAGGTTGTCATGCGCCGTGGGAAGCTTGGAGAATCGGCGTTTGCAGGTCTGGAGATGATGTGCAGCAACGGAGGGATCGAGCTCGCGCTGACATCCATCACATTCCGTCGGACACTGGCAGATCGGCATGCCATGGAGATAGCAGTCGAGCATCTGAGCATAGCGGTGCGGGAAGGCCTTGAGGGGGTAGTAGCTCGAGACTCGCATCGGAGAGTGGCTCAGGTCTCGCTCAGGAAAATGAGCGAAGATGGTAGACTGCAAGACCCTATCCTGCGACTTGAGCGAGTGTGTCCTGCGGCTGTGCAAGGTGAGGATATCACGCTGCTGATCGGTCAGCGCAGCGCGAGCATGCACATGGCGAGGGAAGACGCGCATGACAAGAGGAGTCACATTTCGCTGCGCAGGCGGAGGAATGAAGTGCTCATGAGACGAGTCGACGAGAGCGCGCAAACCAGGGATGTGTACCACAGATGCCGGGGGGCGTCCTGCGTCATCAGGCACAGCAGCCGGGGCAGGTGGGATCGCCGCGCCATCTGCAGCCGGTGCAGGAGCCTTGACACGACGGTAGAGGATCGCTCCAGCATTATGAACGAAGTCGTGCGCCTCAACGAAGAAGGTCGCCAGAGGATGCTTCTGGGCACGGAGAGATCTCGAGCAGTGAACGTCCAGGCTATGAGGAGTATATAGGATTTACTGGCAGAAGATAAAAAGTGCCTCAAGCAAAACAAAGCAGGAACAAGCTGAACCGGCAGGTACACAGTCCACAGCGAGAAGCTGCACAAACACACACAAAACACAAGCCCGAAAAGAACCAGCACTGCTGGCACCCAGACGCGGCAGCGCCAGCCCAAGCGCGAAGCCGCGCAGACAAGCAGCCGAAGGGTCAAGCAATCAAGCAACAAGCAGCAGGAGCATGCAGGAGGAGAGGTCAGCGTCCGGGAGATGGGCTGGTCAGAGTACCAAGCGAGGAAGCGAGCGATAGCCGTATAGTAAACAGCGGGGTGTAGACCCTCAGAGGGCGTGAACTCGTCCCCTCCTCGACTATGCAGGGTCCGGGACATGGGCTGGTCAGAGTACCAAGCGAGGAAGCGAGCGATAGCCGTATAGTAAACAGCGGGGTGTAGGTAGTGGATTTACTGGCAGAAGGGTGTAGACCCTCAGAGGGCGTGAACTCGTCCCCTCCCCGACTATGCGGTGGTATAGGATTTACTGCGGAAGCTCCCGCTTGAACCTCGCAAACTCTAGCAGGTCGGGATGCGCGGCGAGGTACTGCGAGGAAGGCCAGCGGTGGAGGATATAGGATTTACTGGCAGAAGGTAAAAAGTGCCTCAAGCAAAGCGGTGGTATTTCTCAAGCGCCAGGTGGACAGAGAGGTCAAAGCGGAAGGTAAAAAGTGCCTCAAGCAAAACAAAGCAGGAACAAGCTAAACCTCCTGGCACACAGCGCACAGCGAGAAGCTGCACAATCACACACAAAACACAAGCCCGAAAAGAACCAGCACTGCTGGCACCCAGACGCGGCACTGCCCTGGCACCGATAGGTGGACACAATGGATTCGGCATAGGATTTACTGGCAGAAGGTAAAAAGTGCCATAGGTGGCGGCGCGTTTGCGAGCCAAGACCTCAGCAGCAGGTCCATCATCAGGAACGAAGTGCCGACCAAACGCCGCATCCTCAAGAGGCATCGAGCGCTGAGCAATGATGTCCGCCAGATACCAGATGAAGCGGAGGGTGTCAGGATGCAGGGTACCGTCCGTCGAGATGGCAAGAGGGATGAACGCTCAAGGAGGAGTACTCGTGTGTTTGTGCAGCTTCTCGCTGTGCGCTGTGTGCATGCAGGTTTAGCTTGTTCCTGCTTTGTTTTGCTTGAGGCACTTTTTACCTTATAAAACTCTACTACAGTCATGGCATATCCAGCCCGGTGTTTGCGAATCTTCTCCAACGCTGCAACATGGAGGGCGTCGAGGTTGACCTCCCCCCACTTGGTCAGGTCGGCAGAGCTACCAATGTAAGGGTGGACCAACGTCACGTGAGGCGCTGGAAGGGAGTTTTACTCGCATAAGGTGAAAAGCGCTGATAGGTGGCCGCGCATTTGCGAGCCACCTACTTTAGCCACGTAGACATGCAGAGAGGGCAAGCAACGAGCACCGTGCCACCCACCTACTGCATCATTAAGATGCCCCGCGAGGTACTGGGAGGCCACGCGCAGGCGATACGCGGAATCAGTGTTTTACTCCCGGAGGTTTCGGCAACTGACCGCTGTCAGTCGAGGCGTGTGCCGTCTAAAGAGTTGCAACTACGACCAGACACTGTC